GGCCAAGCATTTGGGGCATTATAAACAGGCTTATCTGCTTTTCAACATGACTTTGTCATTTGCCACAAGGACAAAGCATCCAACACAGAAGTGGACAGATATTCCTGAAGGTCAGAGTGACCCAGGGGTCAGATTTTCCCACAAAGAACACTGAAGGTCAAAGAAACAAAGCTAATGAACAAATGAAATGAAAACAAAGGCTTAGACTATAAAACAAAACAGTGGCTACCAGATGGGAAGGGGGAAGAAGTGGAGGCTCACTTAGGTGTAGGAGTCGAGTGCATGGTGAGGGACGGAAACTAGCTTTATTGGTGAACATAATGTAGTGGATACAGGTGTTGATTTATAAAGCCAGACACCTCTAACCTATGTAATGTTATGAACCAATGTTACTTCTATGAAAGGTTTTTTAAAAGGACACTGAAGTCCAAGTCAGATGAGTAACTGTTCCTGTGACGTGGACCCCAGGATGTCACTACATTGTTCCATATGACAATGGTTACTTGCGGGCAATAAATCCTGCCCCTCCTCACAGGATGAATGAAGTGAACTGATACCTAAGAAACCCTGTATGGTTACTAGGAGAAATAAGTGGGGTTTTAAAAAGCAACAAAATTCACTGACTTGGAAATAAAAGGAAAGGGAAAATGCTTTATCCAAAGTTACCAGCCATCCTTAGTGTGAATGTACACTGAAGCAGTGACAGTCCCCAGTATCAGTTATGTTTCTGTCCACTTAATTTCCAGCCTCTTGTCCTATAAATGTCCCTCAGACCATATCAGTCTTTTTTTTTTTTTTTTTTTACTGTTTTACTTGTTTTTGCATAGAAGAGCTGGGGCATAGGCCAGAGGTGCAGAGGCGACAGGATTCACAGGAAGCCAGCTGAGCCTTCCGCAGTCTGGTCCTAACCCTTCACTCACATCTGAGCATGCTCCAAGGTCTCCGAGGCCTGTGGTGCAGGACCCTCTGGTGATGCAGTGGTGTGGGACATTCATCTGAAGAGGTGTGAACCTGTACCCCTAAATCATCTAGTGTTGAAGTCAATGTCACCTACCAAAAAATACAAGTCTTTTGTGTAATACTCCATTGACCTAATGGGTGCAGATACGAGAGTATCGTTCGGTTACAAATGGTGCACTTTTTTAATCACTGCGGAAATGTAGCTGTCGTTCCCTTTGCTAAAATCTAGCCTGAACATTCCTCACCTGCAGTTGTGCAGTTTGTGGC